CACCAAAGATCTATAACAATGGCTCAAAACTCTCTCTAAAGATCAAGGGGGCGATTAGGGTTTCTCTCAGTAAAAGGAAACAGATGGAGAGGCAGCAAATGAGGCTATACTTATATTTATATAAACCCCAAACCCGGGGATTTTGGGTTTCAACTCACAGCGCCTACTCGGCGAGTCTACATCCAGACTCGTCGAGTAGATCATTAAACCCACGTGGCCATCCCGACTCTACTCGGCGAGTTATAGCGCCAAATCGTCGAGTAGGTCAATGATCCTCAAAAATAAATACTTAAAATGACATACCTGGGAATCCGGATGTTACACTATGGCCACTACGAGTTCGTGGTGATGCCCTTCGGGCTCACCAATGCTCATGCCGAGTTCATGGATCTAATGAACCGCGTGTGCAGACCGATTCTTGATCGGTCTGTGATAGTTTTCATTGATGATATCTTGGTTTATTACAAGACGCAGGAGCAGCACTTGCGAAAGGTGCTGGATACCTTGAGGAGGGAGAGCTTGTACGCCAAGTTCTCCAAGTGTGAGTTCTGGTTGCGCGAGGTGCAGTTTTTTGGGCACCTTGTCAACCAGAACGGGATTTTGGTTGACCCGGCCAAGGTGGAGGCCGTGATGAGATGGGAGGTTCCGAAGTCTCCATCTGAGATTCGGAGTTTCCTAGGGTTAACAGGCTATTACCGGAGATCCATTCAGGACTTCTCCAAGATAGCAGTACCCTTGACCCGACTGACGAAGAAGGTCGTCGTATTCTGATGGGGGCCTGAGCAGCAAACATCGTTTCAGACTTTGAGGCAGAGGTTTTGCGAGGCGCCGATCTTAGCCCTGCCAGAGGGCATGGAGGATTTGTAGTATACTGTGATGCGTCCATTTCGGGGTTGGGTGCAGTATTGATGCAGAGAGGGCACACCATCGCCTACGCCTCGAGGCAGCTGAAGCCTCACGAGGCAAACTACTCGATGCACGATCTGGAGTTGGGGGTGGTTGTTTTCGCCCTCAAGATTTGGCAACATCACCTCTATGGGGTTCGATGTACCATTTACACGGATCACAAGAGTCTGAGGTTCCTCATGGATCAGCCGAATCTGAACATGAGGCAACGTCGGTGGCTAGATGTGGTGAAGGATTACGACTGTGAGATCCTCTACCACCCGGGGAAGGCCAATGTTATGGCCGATGCTCTTAGCTGAAAGGCAGCTCCGATCAGAGACATTTTCTTGCAGATGACAGTAGCGAATCCTCTTCTAGAGCAGATCCGAGAGGCCCAGCAGGAGGCTATGAAGGAGGAACATTGAAAGAGTGAGTGTATTGTGGGTCAGGTTTCCTCCTTCGATTATGATAGTCGTGCGTTGTTCACACTACACCGGAGAGTGTGGGTTCCATATCATGGAGGTGTGCGCCAGGTTTTGATGGAGGAGGCTCATAAATCAAGGTTTTCTATTCATCCCGGGGCGACAAAGATGTACAGAGATCTTCGTCCTAATTACTGGTGGCCCTGCATGAAGCGGGATGTAGCCTGGTATGTCGAGAGATGCCTGACCTATAGGAAGGTCAAGGACGAGCACTAGAGGCCTCACGGCAAGACGCAGCCGTTGGATATCCCTAGGCCCACACGAGGGGTGGATTCGATTTGGGTCATCGTGGATCCGTTGACTAAGAGTGCTCATTTCATACCGATCCAGGAGAGCATCTCGGACGAGAAGCTGGCCGATATCTACATCCAAGAGGTAGTAGCTCGACACGGAGTGCCAGTTTCTGTGATTGTTGATCGAGACATGCGATTCACTTCCAGATTCTGGAAGAAATTCCATGATGAGTTGGGTACTCGTCTACACTTTAGCACCGCTTTTCACCCGCAGACGGATGGTCAGAGCGAGCGGACCATCCAGAAGTTGGAGGATATGCTGCAGGCATGCGTTTTAGACTTCGGTGGTAGCTGGGATACCTACCTTCCCTTGGCAGAGTTTTCCTACAATAATAGCTACCACACGAGTATCGACGGTCCTCCCTTCGAGATGTTATATGGGAGGAAGTGCAGGACCCCGATATGCTGGGGAGAGGTGGGACAAAAGGTCATTCGGAGTACCGAAGTGGTACTCAAGACGACAGAGAGGATCCAACAGGTTCGTATTAGCCAGATTCACCGTACCGATATGCTGGGGAGAGGTGGGACAAAAGGCCGTTCGGACCTGGTGTTCCAGGTCGGGGAGATGGTTCTCCTGAAGGTGTCACCTTGGAAAGGTGTCATCCGGTTCAAGAAAGCGGGGCAAGTTGGGCCCCAGGTACATTGGACCTTTCAGGGTTGCAGCTCGGGTGGGCAAGGTGGCGTATAGTTTGGATCTGCTAGCCGAGCATAGCCAGATTCACCGTACCATCAACATATCCCAGTTGCGGAAGTGCCTGGTAGACGACTCTGCAGTGGTGCCTCTAGAGGATATTCAAGTGGATGACAGCCTGAACTACATCGAGCGACAAGTAGCTATCCTCGACAGGAAGTCGAGGGATCTGAGTAACAAGAGGGTCGAGTCGGTGAAGGTGCAATGGCAGCATCGCAAGGGCTCAGAATGGACTTGGGAGCCGGGGGACGAGATGAGGGAGCACTACCCCGAGCTTTTTCCAGATGCAGCAGCAGACTTCAAGGATGAAGTCTAAAATAAGTGGGGGGGATTTGTAATGCCCGGTTCCCGGTACGTAATTTTAAATATGAGTTTTACATTTTTATACTGGAACTCGACGAGTTGGTGGACCCAAACTCGTCGACGAGGGGTTAATCTTGGACGGGGGTGGAAGGGTCTACTCGACGAGTCGGAAGCTCCAACTCGACGAGTAGATCTGTCTGAATGAAACCCTAAATTTTAGGATTTGCACCCTATTTAAACACCTTATATGGCCTCCACTCCAGCCTCCATCACCCTCAGACCCTATTCTTGAAACCCTAATCAGTTTGTGAGTGTTCTTGAACTTTTTTGTGCCATTTTAGTGATTTGAAGCTTGGAGAAGGAAGGAAAGGCTTGGAGGTCCAAGAAGAAGGCAGTAGATCCAAAGTTTTGGTTGCATTTCCAGTTTGTTTGAGGTAAAAAGCTTCAACCTTGACTTTTCATCACTTAGATCTTCTTTAGGGCTTGCATCTTGTCATTTTTTGACCATTTCTAAGTCACTCTCAAGATTTGAGTGCATAATAGAGTAATGACTTCAGATCTGGGAACTTTTGGGCTCAGGAAGCTCAAAGTTGCCACCTTTATTGAGCTATGGCCCTATCCCATGCATTAGAACTCCTTTATGGCTTAGTTTTGGTGTTTTAGCTTCATAACACCCATGCGTGCACGTAAAGTTTGTAAATTTATGTGTTATATCACCCCTAGGAGGCCAGATCTATGCTTTGGATGCAATAAGCTCGACTAAAATCGACTGTATGGACTTGGACTTTGGGGGACTCGGCGAGTCGTTCATAGGACTCGGCGAGTCAGGTCAGGGTTCCACAACCTTTCCTACTTCTGAGCAATCTGGGTGAGTCTAGAAGAGGACTCAACAAGATGGTTGTGAATATGGACTTGATGATCAAAGAAGTCGACGAGTTCTAGGATGAACTCGGCGAGTTCAAGATAATGTCCCAACTGATATGAAGAAGGACTCGACGAGTTCAAGGATGAAATCGACGAGTCAATGAGAAAATGTTCCGACATGTATGAAGGAGAACTGGACGAGTCCAAGGAAGGATTCGACGAGTTGAAATGGAAAGTCCCGATTCTGTCATAAGGAGAAACTCGGCGAGTTAGAGGGTAACTCGACGAGTTCGATCGCGAATTCGAGTTTCTCTGAACTATGGAACTCGACGAGTTGATGGATCAACTCGGCGAGTTGAGTCAACCAGGATGTTGACTTTGACCAGGGCGTTGACTTTAACTTTGACCTGAGTTGACCCTCGAAAGGGGTTATGAGTAGGAAATTGTAATTAAGGAAGGTTGTTATGTGTAGGAGTTTGAGGAGAGTTGATCCCAGCACCGAGGACAGTTCGGTTACTGCATGACATCAAGGTAAGTTATCTTCCAATAGAAGTGGGTCTAAGGCCATAATGTTGGCCCACTAGTAGGAGATGTTTGTTAGATGATTGTCTTCGTGATAATTGTCTGGTGTGCCACTATGCTTTATGTGCTAGTATTATGTCTTAATATAGTAGTGGTAGGGGTGCAATAGTCCCCAGTTACCGGTTGAAAGATACCGAAGGGGAGGCCAGCACCCAGATTTGCTAGGCAGTCGATGATAAATTATTGTATGCTAGGGTATTATGTAGTAATTGTAGGGGTGAAATAGTCCCCGCAACAGGTTGAAAGAGACTGAAGGGGTAGGCCAGCACCCAGATATGCTATGCAGTTACCGGTTGAAGGAGACCGAAGGGGTAGGTCGGGCACCCAGATATGCCTGATAGTATGATGTTGTATGGTATGTGGTATGATGGGGGAACTCACTAAGCTTTATGATTACAGTTTTAAGTTTTGTTTTCATGTACCTCTTCTTCGAAGGGGAAAGAGCTGGCATGGTAGCAGCGCATCACACACACACACAGCATTTCCGCATTATGAGATTCTTGGGATTGTACTCTGACATTGTTACTATTTTATGATATGGTTTTGAGACATTTGACTATGGTTTTATGAAATGATATGACTCGATGATGTTTTTCAGTAAACAATTTTATAAGTTACTTAATTGAAAACAAAATTTTTGGTCATGATTTTTGGGATGTTACATTTATGCCACTTTTTCATCTTCCCAACACCCCACCTTATCAATGTATGATTTAGAAATCATTTCCATGAACTAACACGAAGTTATATCCCTTTAGGTATCAAATTTCATGAAAAAATGGCATTTTTCGTCATCAGCCCTCTCATCCTCGGTGCTCAGCACTGAAGACCTAAATCCTGACCGAAGACGTTGCCTTACCGAGAAGATAAGCAACACCGAAGTTTGATGGAGGTCCTCTTATGCATAGCCTCTGCTATCCCTCGCAGATCAAAGACCTCGCACCGAAGATTAGCCACTACTTCCGTGTACGGAAGACTAAAGCATGGTACTCTCCCCTTCGCAACCTTCCTACTCTTTGTTGCCCACCTCCTCGGAATCAACTTCTGGCTACTCCTCGATACAACCTCTTTGTTCTTCGCATCATTCACTCCTCTCTAGTCTGTCTTGGAAATCTACCCACCCAAACCTTCACCGCATACATCGCCTTCCCACCGAAGACCTCCCTCTTCGATAACCCTCTTCACCCTACGTCTAACCCTCCAACCCCTCAATGCAGAGCTTCCCCTCTCACTGGAGCCCTCAAGTCCCCGATACTCTACCCTCCTCCCTACTCTTCTCAGCCTACCCTTCGCCTCCTTCCTCCCTTCTTCTTAAACCTCTCCTTTGCCAAACCCTCTCATATAGAAGCCTTTCTTTTCACCCAATTTTTTTTTAATCCTCGTTTCATTTTTTTATACTACAATCTTTTTGAGCCATTTTTTTCAGCCCATTTTTTTTAATTAACAATCTTTTATTTTCTTAAAACCCATTTTTTTTCACCAATTTTAGCACTTTTGTGAAGAACAATTTTTACAAGACTTTATTTATTATCATCGCAAAAGAGATTATTATGGATATTTATTCAAGCTTTGATCTTCATGATGGATTACTTCTTGCTGATTATATTGGAAGAATTTTATTATTCTTTCCTTGAGGATTGCCCTTTAATCAAGGTTCATCGACTAGCATTCCTTGGATCAGTGTCTTAGGACCAGTTATCCTCCATACCGCAGTTGGATATCTTATTCCTCGTAGTGAAGTTGGCGTGCAGTTGCGTCTGATCAACAAAATTGTTTCACAATCTTCGCTCTACAAAAACTTTTTATGAATTGTAGCTCTTGATCTTCGGTTGACGAACCATGTGTATTGACCAAGTGGACATTATTTATTTAATCCGCTTCAGGAGTTCCGGCACCGTAGTTTGGGTACATCAACATTTTTCAACAGAGCAGAGATTTTTCACATAGAGTTCTTATTGATACTTCGGTACTTGTTCAGATAGTTTTCAGCAACAGAATCAACTGGATACTTATTACCTTGGAAGTATTAATATACTTTTTATCTTCTGTTTTATCGAGGCCCTTCATACATCTAGGGAGAGCATGTGAAGCTCTTGGTATCTGACACTCTCCATCCTAATTGATTTATTCATTTTTGATATCCGAGCACTGGTTATCAAAAATAGGAGAGAGAATATTATTAGTGTCCGAATTATTGATTATGTTTTTCAGAGTGTTGATTTTCAAAATATCTTAGAAAAGGAGATTATTTAGTATTTTGAGGTGCTAATTGATCTTGGCTTATTATCTACTTTTTTAGTCAAACCGACGTCATGATGATAGTTCTGAATGAAGTTTGAAGTCTGATCCTTGCTTGCGGATCACTGCAACTTCTATTCTTAAATCCAGGCTTGTTTAGTATTCCAACTCTACCACATGATGTTTTCATATTTTTAGCAGGTTATTATTTTGAAGGATTTTAGGTATATTATGATTCGAGAACTAGAGATGTTTTAGACTTTCGAAGCCGAAGTATGACTTGATTATGGTCGTTCGGTTCAAGAGTTATTGGTACACTTTTGAAGTTCATCGACTTGGTTTACCGATCACATCTATAGATTGGAATCTCATTGTTCAACACCGGAGATGATGGACTTCGTTTCTTAGAAGACTTTGACTACAGAGATTTCATCACTTAGTTTCAGACATCACAGATACTTTGGAGTTTCAGAGACATTTCAACATTTGGTTCTCGTTATGTATCATTTTTATTATCGTACTTGCTAGTTAGTTACTATGTATTTTAGCATTTTATCACTATTTGTATCACTCATCATTTGCGAGCATTTAGGGAGAGATTGTTGGAGCATGGAAATGCTTTACAAATTATTAGTGATAAGTTATGATATTTTATTCCCTTTTATTGTATTGTAAGTTGTCTCTCTCTTTAAATAGAGAGGGGTGGTCATTTTTGTATGTGTGCACCTAAAATGTAGTCTTTTGTTTTAGTTAAGGACAAACTTTAGGTTGGGATCTCTCCCACCGAATTGTTCTTCATAGTTATAGTTGTAACCTCTCTTTCTATTATAATCATCGGATTACTCATATGTTTTGTTCTTCATATATTGTGTTATCGTTAAATCTCAAGATCCTTTTATTCCGCACTTAGACGATCGTCCAAATGGGATCCTACAAATGAATCATTGACAAATTTTAAAACAAGTAAACCACGAACAAGATCATTTTAGACATGTTTATTCAAAAATTTTATGTTAATATGAGAAATTTTTCGACGCCAAAACTAGCTAAGGTTGGAAGAAGCCTTCGATAGCAGACAAACAGAAGGAATGCCAACGATAGGTTTCATGTCTAGAGTGAACATGTCTCCTTTTCTATTTGACTTCAACAAGACTTCCTTTGTTTCTTTGTTTGTTATAACACTTCCTTCTTCATCAAAAATCACTTGATTCCCAGTTCCAACAACGAGTTGTGAGACACTTATTAGGTGGTGATGCAACCCATCGACATAAGCGACCCTGTTTACAGTAAATTTCCCATTCATAACTTTTCCATATCCTATGACTTTACACTTATGATTGTTCCTAAATTTTACCACTCCAGCATTCTCGAGTTTCCTTAAATCTCTAAGATTCTCCTTATGACTAGTCATGTGATGCAATCATCCACTATCGATGTACCAATTTTCGTCAGACAGCTCGTCAGATAGTACCTGCAATCATTCAGAGAGATTTAGGTCCCCAAGACTCTTTGGGTCCTTGGGCATTAGCGTGAAAAGTAGTGTGCAATGTAGAACTAAAGATCCAACTATGAACTTTGATTTTAATTTTGTCGATTAAGTCAATTTTGTCAGTTTTAGATATAGAAATGTAATCATTCAATGGCAAAGTTTCAACTTTGATTTTCTCTTTTTCAACCTTTCTTTGAGAAACATCAACTTTCTTAGCTTTAACTTCTTGCCATTTTGACACTTTTGACAATGATTCTTGAGACTAAGTGCTTCCACTCATCAAAACATTCAAGTAATTCTCATAATCTTGTTGGACTTGTTCTTGAGAATACCTTTTCGATTCATATTGCCCTCCTTTTCCTTCAAACCACTATTTAAAATTTTTCATTTCATTTCTTCCTTTGACAAAAGAAACATTCGCTTTGTGCTTTGAATCAGGATTTGGAAAATGTAGATCATCAGATTTAAATGGTACATATTTCGTGACTACATTTGTTGGTTTTTGAAACCTCGTTTGTTAAAATGACTTTTGTGGTCATTGTTGAAAACGATTTTGATATCGAGTATGATATCCAAAACGAGATTCTTTTTGAAAATTTCTTTGATTTTGTGAAAAACTCCTTTGCACATTGTTTTGAAAAAAAAATTGTGGTTTCATTTTTGCATTTTTAAAACCATTCATCTTTTGTGAAAAATCATTTTGAGATTTATTCCCAACATTTTTGTTAACAGCTTTCAGAACATCTTTCGAAGAATCTTTTGAAGTATGAGTTTTTGATGTCCAACAAAACCTCTTTTTAGATTTTTGTGATAGTTTTTGCTTGAACTTCTTTGCCTTTTAAGAATCTTTATGTTTCTTCCAATAAGCTTTATTTTGTGCTTTCCTTTTTTTATTTTTCAAATCAGATTTCTCAACTTATTTGATATTATTTTGAGACTTTTCCTTTTGATTTTTGGAACAATTGGGAATAGACTTATCACAACTCTTCTCATATTTGCCTTCGAAATCATGCTTAAAATTTTTCACAATCCAAACTCTATTTGTGTTCTTTTTATTTACTTTGGAAAATGATTTTTGACTTTGTTGAAGTTGAAAAACTTTGGACCTTTGATTCAAACTATTTTCAACAACATTTTGGTTAGAATAAAATCCCTCATCAGTCACTTTTGAATTATCTTCTTTTAACAACTCATTTATTTTTGGATCAACATTGTCCCCATTACCAGTCATAACGAACACTTGGTTAGGAAGACCTTTAATACAAGTTGGATGAATTTGTTTTAAGAAAATGTTTTTACTTTTTCTTTCAAAACTTTTGTGTATTCCTCATAATCGTCATACACTTGAGCTTCAACAACTCGTGGAATTTCTTTTTCACACGATTCATCATCACTATCACTTTCATCATTTTTATGTCCTCAACAATAACAGACTCCTTTTGAGAATCGCAAGTTTTGGTGGTCGAAGATGAATCATTTTTTATCTTCGTTGTTGAATCTACATTCTCTTTGTCTTTAGCTAAAGAATTGACATTAACGACAGACATTCTAGAACAATCAACACATTTCTCTTCCTCAATTTCACTGATATTGTCAATCTCGTCTTTAATATCAGCACAAAAAATTTGATTACTATGTGTCGAGTTCTCACTTATTTTCAAATTTTGGATTTGTTCATTTTTGGTCAAAGTCTCATTCACAATATCAACAAGTTCATAAGCATTCAAACAATCATTAATATTTACAATACTATATGCATACGAATCACTTGGAACAGTATCATAATCAACTACTTTACTTTCACAATCAAATGTAGTCTCGTCAACTAGTTCTCTCTTGAAAGTAATAAAAGGAAGTAGCTTCCTATGTTGTTCTTCTATAGATATCGGAAGAATGATAAAGGTCTGTAAGTTTTCCATATAGATGCTTAGTTGTATTACAGTAAATGTTTGTTTTACGAGCATTTTATTGTCCATACAAATTGAGTCCCTATCACACATTATACTCGTAATCTTTAACTCTAAGGCTTCTATTTTACAATTCTTCTTCTTCAACTTATTATGATCTTCATAAAATAAGGCCTTAGATTTCTCTGCTTCACTACTCATAGAGATTAACATATCATTCAGATTAGAGCCTGTATCATCAAAGTTAGATAAAATGGCATGGTATGAATTCAAAGGAATATGTTAGGTTTTGGTGTTGTGTCATTGTGTATATTATATTAATCCATTATGTAATCGGGTTTGGGCATGTCCACCCGTTCATTGATTATTAGGGTTTAGCTATTTAAGGTGCATGCATGCACTGTGTTTTAAATTCTTGGAAATAGCCTTGTAAACCTACATGCCTCTACAGTATCAATTCTTCATCGAGTTCTTTTGAGGCGTGACTTTGAATCATTAACCATATTTTGATCCATTCTTGTGTTCTTGTTTTCAATTACCTGTTTAAATCTTTCGATCTTTAGAGATTTTATCTCAACAATTGGTATCAGAGCAGGAGACTGTGTAATCTATACGCATCTCTTCTGTTAAAAGGAACTTTTAGGGTTTCCGCTAATATTGAATCTCATTTCAGCCGTCATTAATAGTTCAACTGTTGACGCTGATCTTGATCTTGATATTACCCTAATCTTATTTACACATCTGGTTCATACAGGTTTTGTTCGATATATAAACATGCATTCCGAAGACTCTCACTTTAATTTGAT